GGTATTCATATTTTTAAATATTACAATTAATTTTTTACATCCAACATACAATATAGATGAAATAATAGAATGTTTTTGTAGACTGGTCAATATCATACTTTGGACGTGGAGCAAAATCGAAAATTTACAATTACTAAAGAGAAATGGGATTCAATTACATTAGAAAGAGTGGATACTGCGTGCGATCCCACACAGGTATATAATAAATGTTATAAAATATTATAATATGATATTATATTGTAGTATAATGCGATAATATAATGTAATATCATAATATTGTTTTCATTTCAGAAAGCAGATGTTGCTGCTGTAGTAATGCAAGAAGGTATTGCACACATTTGTTTAATAACTTCTAATATGACAATAGTACGTGCAAAAATAGATCAAGTTATACCTAGGAAACGAAAAGGGAATGTTTCACAGCATGAAAAAGTAATAGTTCTAAGTAAAACACCAATTTTATTAATACATGATTCAATTTAAATAAAAAAAAAAAAAAAAAAAAAAAAAAAAAGAAAAGAAAAAACTGATTAAAAAAATTGATACTTGCTAGGGTCTGGTGAAATTTTATGAGAGCATTTTACAAGGCATTTTAAGACATATTAATTTTGACATAGTAAAATGTCTTATCTTGGCCAGTCCTGGATTTGTCAAAGATCAATTTATGGATTACATGGTTCAGCAGGCAATTAAATCGGATAATAAAACGATTTTAGAAAATAAAGGCAAATTTTTATTAATACACTCAAGTTCTGGTTTCAAACATTCATTGAAAGGTAATGTTTTAATTTATGTATTTATATATACACATTCCAATAGATAATAAAATTAAATCTCTTCATAATACTATTACATATCGTTTCATCAGAGGTTCTGGCTGATCCTGCTGTAGTATCTCGAATTTCTGATACTAAAGCAGCAAGTGAAGTGAAAGCTTTAGAAACATTTTATTCAATATTACAAACAGATCCTGCCAGAGCTTTTTATGGTAAAAAGCATGTTGAAAAAGCTAATGAGGCTCAAGCAGTAGAAACATTACTTATATCGGATAAATTATTTCGGTAAGATATTCTAATAATATAAATTATTTAGATATATTTAAATAATATACTTATAAATATATATATATATATATATATATATATATATATTCTATATAATTTTATATTTATGTTTTGTAGATGTCAAGATATTGCACTAAGGAAAGAGTATGTTACAATAGTAGAAAGCGTCAAAGAATATAATGGGGATGTTAAAATATTTTCAAGTTTACACGTTTCTGGTGAACGTATGTATGGTGATATTATAAAGCATATATTAAATATGAACTTTATATATAGAATGTGCGTAGATAGCGGTTAATAATTGTCACATCATATCAATTCATAATTTAATATTATTTGCAGAATTAGATCAACTTACTGGAATTGCAGCTATATTACGCTTTCCCATGCCAGAATTAGAAGATGAAAGCGACGGTGACGAGTCAGAAGAAGATGACTAATTAAGTTCTCGATATATATATATATAATTCTGTACATATTTGTGCTATGCACACTTAAAAATATCATATTAATAATAAAATTGAAAAAGATTCATCATTAATCTAGTTATTATTTCTACCTTTGCATGAGTTTAAATAGTTGCAAAATAATATAATTTTTATAATAATTAATTCATTGAAAATTTTTCATTTAAATACATTTTGACGAAATTAAATTTTCACGAAAAAATTAAAATTGTACGATCCATTAAAGTAAATATTAAATATTAAGGAAATAATATAAAAATATTATATTTGAAAAAATATCTGTTTTTCCAGATACTATTCTTTTGATACAGTAATTCCCCGATTTTTATATTTGATATGGTAATACTATTTTGCATAATTGTGAACACGAGATAAGATATTCCACCTTTTATACATGATGGGTATATTGTTACGAAGCATGGAGGAATTAATTCAAATAATTCCTTTCATTTATAATTCTAAAGTCGAAGATTATACATGTATTCTATAACGTATAATATTGAGTAAAATTTTTAGAATACAATTAATTTTTCTTCGTCTTAGATATTCTGCAATAGTTACGGCTTAAGGTTATGGGATATATCATATCCGTTTTAAAATTGCTAAAAAAGAAAAGAAAAAGGCAAAAAAAGATCATGGGGAATTTTATAGGAGATATTATAATATGGTATGTTTAATTTATATTATATTCATTATTCAAATATATTAAAAAAATCTGTTTTAAAAATGTTGTATAAGTTATTGTCTTCATTATACACTGGTACTTGTATTATAAATATTAATACAAGTTTTTATTTTGTAGCATATTGCTACTATTTTCAGTGAGTATTGTTTTTGGAACTACAGAGATTATAAAATATCTTACAAATAGTACCGAAGAATTATTGCAAATGAATTCATATAATTGGATCCTTCGATTGTGTTTCAACCTATTAGGCTATGCTACAATTTTATTCCCAGGTTATCTTATATACAAATATGTACAATATAGTAAATATATTCAGAGAAGTGGTAAGTAAAGCAAATAATTTTATTAATTTGTATATCGCATGATTACTTTATTATGTTATATTCTATTTATTTATATATAGATAAAAGCTGTATTCCAAGATTAGTTCACTCATGTTTTTTGGGACACAGTGAAACAGGTCTTTTAGACACATCTTCTTATACACCAACATCTACCAGTCAACGTACGTTTACTCAGGATTTCTTGCTACTTACATATTGTTTCCTTGGATTACAAATTAGTTATTTGACATGGGGTTACCTACAAGAGAAGATAATGACACAGGTATTTAAATTTTTCCTATTATGCAATATTCATATATATATATATTATAAATATATATATATATTATAAAGTAAAACATTATATTATATAGGTTTATGAGGATGGCTTTGGTAATCAGGATCATTTTGAAGATTCACAATTTTTAGTATTTATAAATAGAATACTTGCATTTTTAATGTCTGCATTATATTTACTTATCCAAAAACAACCACAACATAAAGCACCACTTTATAAATATGTTTTTTGTTCATTATCAAACATTATGAGCAGTTGGTGTCAATATGAAGCTCTTAAATATGTTAGCTTTCCTACACAGGTAAATATAGATTTTTTTCAGTTTATAATATATAAAATATAGATTTTTTTCAAAAAATATATTTGACTTTTCATTATTCCATAAAAATTCGTATTATCTGTAATGGAATTAATAAGTCAAGAATATATATTTTAGGTTTTAGCAAAGGCCTCTAAAATAATTCCTGTTATGATAATGGGAAAAATTATTTCACACACAACATACGAGTATTATGAATACGTTACAGCAATACTTATTTCTGTTGGAATGACTATGTTCATGTTAAATAGTTCTGACTATAAAAATGGTAATCAAATATAGATCTATTAATATCGTTCGATAGAGATATAGTATGCTATTAATATTTATGGAATTTCTAATAGAACTTTTTTTTTTATTTTTAGATGGAGCTACCACTATTTCTGGTATTATCCTTTTAGGAAGTTACTTAGTATTAGACAGTTTTACAAGTACCTGGCAAAATGCACTTTTTGTAGAATATGGTACAACTAGTATACAAATGATGTGCGCGGTAAATATGTTTTCATGTTTATTGACCGTCACATCTCTTATACAACAATCAAGTTTTCCTTTCATATATTTTTTTATGAAAAAAGTAAGTAACAAACTCTACAAACTAATTTTATTAAATTCTATCTATTAATGTGAATGAATTGATTAGTATCCTAGGTTTATAATGGATTGTTTACTTATTTCCATTTGTTCTGCAAGTGGACAATTATATATTTTTTATACAATTTCGAAATTTGGACCTATCACTTTTGTAATAATGATGACTATCCGACAGGTAAAAATATTAATGTTCATTAATTTAATATTTTCATTATTGTTTATATAATTTATACTAGAAGTATTTATATATTTCTAGGGATTGGCTATATTATTGTCATGTTTAATATATCATCACGAAATTAAAATGATTGGTATACTTGGTATACTTCTTGTATTTGGTTCAGTATTTCTACGAATTCATTGTAATAATGTAACTCGAGCGATTAAAAGACGCAGAACTGCAGCGAATTCTGTAAAAAATTAGATTATTTTAATTACTATTACGTAGAATCTCATAATATGATTTAATTTTTTTTTATTGTGTGTGTCTGATTTTTAACAATACATTATTTTATATACTTGCACATCTTGCAATATTAGACATCTGTACCGTTATAAAATTTTTATAATCCTTATTTTCTGTTAATAACTTGTATACATTTTTATATGGACATTTAAAAACGCTTATTACAAATTAATGTATATAATATTTTTTATTTCAATTAATTAACCTGTAGTTTTAACACAGACGTTATTATCTTATATATTTAATGTACAAAATGTTGGCTATTATAATAACAAGGAAGGCACATTGCCGTGTTATTTATTTAAAAAATATTTATTTTAATATAAATATATATACATAGAAACTTATGTAAATGTTTAATTGGATATAACATTAAAAATAATTTGCATTAAGATATTGTAACTATACTTTTCATATTTATGAAAATTTTAATTAAATTTTAATATTAAAGATAAGTACACGTGGCAGCAGTTGTGATTTTTTTTCATTGTTATTATTATTCAAGAATTAAAATAGATTGTTGTTAGTTTTACTACAATAGGTCTTATATTATCAAAAAAAATTGTTAACAATATGTGTGTAGGCTCACGATTAAAAGAGATATTAACATAAAAGCAATATTTAATTAACTTTCTTTTTGTATAGAAGATAACTTTAATTCAGTAAAAAATATTATGATAGATTTAATAATGTTTTGAAGAAAAGGAACTATAATATATTAATATTATCATAATCAAACTATATTATATATAAATATATAATGACTTTTCATACTAATTTTTGATGTTGTTTCTAAATATTGTGAATAATCATAAAATTTACGTTAATAGTTACTTTGAATAGACATAATATTATTTTACATTATATTAGCATTTTACATAAAAATATATAAGTAAAATATCGATGATACTACTATAAATATATTAATATATTCAGAAAGGTAGTATTTAGAATAAGACAATACTGTGTTTTTGAAATATTTTCTGTAGTTAAGTGAGAAATGCAGTTTTTATTAATACTACCTTTAGTATCCTTTTTTTGGAATCATATACAAAAATAATTTATATACTATCTACATTGTTAATTGTTTTATTTATAAAAGAGGCTTTTAATAATAAGAATTAAACAATGTAAAAGATTGTTTATAGAAATCTTCGCGTATAACTATATGGAGCAAAGGATCTAATTTAATCTATAGTAAATCATTGACATTCAGAATGTTTTGTTAAACACAATTTTGTTCCTTCTTAAGAAATATGAGGTCATTTAAAACTGAATATGGAAGTAAGTGCAAAATATGATGAAGTTCTTTTGACGTGCAACATGCTAATGTTTTAAAACCAATATACATGGATCATTCTTTAGGAGATGGAGGACGATAAATAGCTATAAGGTACATGATTGAGATAATAAGCTCCAATGCTAAAATGACTAATTGTATGCTACAAAGGATCACTTCTAATTTAAGCACATAATTTTGCCAAAATAAGAAATATAAAGTTGCTAAAGAGCTAGGAAACGTTAAGAAAATCCCAATGAGAATGGGTAGGCCACGTTCTGTTAAATTTCCTTTCCTTCCTAGATAGATTCTGGCACCCTCCGTCACTATAAGGAAGAATAAGAGCGCAAACTCTGTTAGTGTAGTACTTGTGCCCGGAGATGGTAAATTAGCAGCCTTGAAGAGTCCCATGCCCAACTCGCACACAGCAAACATACCAAAATAAAAGGAATTCAAGTACATAAGAATTTCATATGTCAAGGAAGAATTCACTACTGTAGGCATTCTAAAGGGGTTTTCCTTGGTAGGGATACCCAAATGATCGTTCTACAAGGTATCAATCTTCGTTCATTTATTTTATATTTTATTGCAGTAGAAAGAATAACTTGGTTAAGAATAACTTGTCACTTTCTCTGCATCCTGAACGTATATCTTTAGAACTAGAAATTGATTAATTTCTCTTTATATCGAGAATTATCAAACCGCAAGGTTTTATAATTTTTTTAGTTTTCTTTTTTATTAATCACTTGCGGGATCGCGAAAATGAGGAATGACACGTTATATTTGTATAACTTTATGTACACCTCCTTTTTATTCCTCGCGTCTAGCACTGCTTTATTTTTAACCGTTAAACCTCACATACAATATTGCCATAATCGTGGAAAGAAACATATTTCAGATATCTACATAATATTTATAAAAACAACAATACTTTTATTTTTTATAAACCGTTCAATGAGCAAATAACAAGCGTGAGATTAATCCTGATATTTTGTCAAACTTATATATATATATATATAAGTTTTATATTCATTTTTAACGATTATTCAAGTAAAATTCCACACAAAATCCCTAGATTAAACATTTTTCATAGAATATCAATAAATTTCTTAATCGTACTTCATTTAAAATGATGTTAACAATGAATAATAAGATTAGCACTTATTTCGTTTGTATATTTTTCTTTTTTTTCTTTAATTATTTACAGAACACGTCGGAATGTAACACCCTGAACGAATAACTCTTAACGACATCAAGCTATAACGGAAATGACCAATTACATTCATCCTTTTTATGAAAAACCGTAATATTAAACGTACATCAGGTAGAAAATTTATTATTTAAAATTATGTTGAAAAATGTTTGATAAATTTTTTTTTGTTTTTCAGAAATATAATTTTTTAATCGAACATCTAGGAACATTAATGTACAATAATTTATTGTATGTTTATTATTTGTAGGTAAATCGATGTGATCGATAGTTGAATGTCGGAAATATGTAGGTGCCATTTTTATGATATGTATGTAAGTCATATTAAATTCTTTCGTATAAATCGTATAAATTATAATAAATAAACTATATTTCATACGATTCTTATTTTGATATATGTACATATGTATATATATATATATATATATATATATATATATATACCAGTAAATAATAAAACGATAAAGATTTCACAAAAAAAAATGATACGATAACACGATTTTTGTGATAATTCGTGATGTTATCATGGATTTGAATAAGACTATCGAGTTGACGAAATTAAGAGTCGTAATATTTTATGAGAAATAAAATAAACGTACAAGTATGTTTAAGATTTGCACAAAAATTGAAAGAATTTTAAACGTTTGGAGATTTTCAAGATATCAAAATGGTGGATATGCGGGTAGGAAATCAAAATACGATATACGAAGGGAGAATCTATGTCATTCGACGTTAAACCGGCTCGGTAAGGTAAAACCTATTAAGAGGACGGTTTTCAATGTGATCTTTACCATCTCCCACGAGTCGAATGTCAGAAATAAGGAAAGATATTTTCGTCCGCTCGTAAAAGTCGAAGAGAATGGGGGTTTCTTTAGCGGTATAGTCGAAGCAATTTTGATAATCGCAAGGCTCGTGGTCATAACGCTTGCCGCCATTATCTTGGCCACGGCTTTTTTAATAATACGACTGACAAACTCTGAAGTTTTTCCGGGTATCCTACGAAGAGGTAATTTCGATTTAACCGCACTCCACGAACTTTCTTATTCATTATTTCATTTCATTTTATTTTATTTTATCTTTTATTATTTTCTTTTTTTTTTTTTTGTAAATTTATAAAATATTATATGCGTCTTTTTGAATGTATAATATATTAAATATATATATATAAAATATATTATTAATGTAGCACATATGTTTATATATGTTTATAACATTTATATATTATTTATATAATATGTATATGTATATATATATTATACATTATATATATATATATATATATATATATATATATATATGTATGTATATGTATATAATATTGAATCAGTAATTATATTCCTGGGTCCAACTTTTATCAAATTTGGTCAATGGATGTCGACAAGAAAGGATCTATTTCCCGAAAATATTTGTAATTCTCTAACTCAGTTACAACGCAATTCATCATGTCATTCATGGTTATATACAAAAAATTTATTTAAAGCAACGTATGGACCAAATTGGAGAGATGTTTTTGTCAAATTCGAGGACGAAATACCTATCGGTTCGGGATGTTGTGCCCAGGTACAGAGGTAAAACATTTCTTCTAACCATAGGTTTTCTCTCTCTCTCTCTCTCTTTCTCTTTCTCTCTCTCTGACTCTCCCTCTCCCTCTCCCCCCTCTCTCTCCCTCTCCCTCTCCCCCTCTCTCTCCCTCTCCCTCTCCCATCTCTCTCTCTTTCTTATCGTTATCATTGTTCATTCTTTATTCAATTCAATGAGAGAAACGTTTGATTTTAAATTTGTACATCTTCTATTTACTATTAGATTCTATTTGATACAATCTAAATAACATTTGTCTTATGAATCAATTCCTTATCGATTCACAGGTTTACAAGGCGTGGGTCGATCTTAACGTTCATGCAGGAAGGATACAAGAGTCCCGACTATCGTGTTTCGTCGAAAGTAAGCTAGAAAGTGATCTTCTCGAATAACGTGTTGGTAATACTAACGCGAGAATCGAGAATGTATGTTCGATGTGGAAAATATAGATGTGTTTGATATTACCATTTTGCAGTTATCGAATATTTAAATATGGGACATTTCTTCACCATAT